GAGTAACATTTGATAAACTACAGCGACCGGCTGTTTTTAGGGAATCGCTCGGCCTTTTTAAGAAGTAAAAACAAGTTTGCGAGCCATTTTAAAGATTGAACCTTTAAACTATGAAAGAAAGAAAAATATTGAATAGCAGCGGCCTTATTAATACATAAAGGTCTTCTGACTGACTTTGGATATTGTAATTTTCCGACCGGATTTAGGAAAACGTATACAGAACAACAACAAACTTACTTGATTCGTTGGACAGAAACTTTTTGGCAACAAGTTTGATTCTGTAGCTTCTCAAATGTGACGCTTCTCTGGCTTCTATGATAGTAAACTGTTCATATTTTTAGGTTTTACACTGTTATAAAAGACTCATCTTGGGGTTTGGGATATTATGGTGGGTACCAAATGATTAATTGAGAAAGTAATTGGCAGATTAATCTGTACTAATGCGTGCTTGTTGTTTATACAGAAATAAAATGTTGCAAAACCACGCAGGAACGAAAATAACTTGACCGGACGCCCACTAAACTGAACTGAAACTTTGGTTAGATGTGTGTGTTTGTGCGTGTGTCTGAGGATTATTTTTATTTCTCCTATTATTTCATATTTTAATATCATTATTTAACAGTTTTTTAATGGTATACATTCAACAGTTGGGTTAAAACAAGTCCCCATTGTTTCATTTTCAGACAAGCCTGAATCACCTCGCCTTGTGGTTTTTTTGGTTATCTGTAAGTTACGTTTGCAGCACAACTCATTAACTCACAGCCTACTAACTGAAACTGTGGCTCTGGATCCAAAATGGCAGCTCACAGTCTTCCTGACATTATACAGAGATTATAATATAGGTCATGAATTTAAAGATTACAAGAAAGGGAATATATTTTCTGTTACTAATGAGTGATCTAGTTTTTAAACACCATCAGACCAGTGAAGGCCTCATAAAGCTTTCTTGGATTTAAGACAAACTGCCTCCTTTTATTAAGTGTTTGGTTTCATGTTTTAGCTTTTTTCCATAAACTACCCTGCTGTCACAGGCCCGGGGCTCCTCGCACTTCCTGTTACAAAACGGTGAAATCAAAGCTGCAGGTTTATTCACCCGGCACCGACAGCAGCAGCAGCAGCAGCAGAGGCAGTTTTGGCTTTCCGATGTATGAACCCACTTCAGGTGTGCTCGGTTTATTGTTCGAGCCGTGTAAACACCCACGAACTGAAGCGTTAGCTGCTTGTGAGGTAAGACGGATCGAGTGCTCCTCATCACATCCAGCGTGTAAACACACAGGAAGCGCCGCGTAAACTGAGCTGTAGCTTAAATAAAGACCAACTCCACATGAGAGTCATTGTTGCCAAATGGCACATCTGCCATTTTGGGGACAAAAGGGGAAACAGCTCTCAGAATGACTGCAGGAAAACCCGTTTTAGGTTCTTACCAGTGTGTGAATGATAAATATTTGCCATTTTTAATTGCTGTAAGCCGGCGCATGATCAATTCCTAGTTTCTTACACACGCAACATGTTTGCACTCAACAATATTATCTACTTTTTAGTGCTGCAACTAACTTATTTTCATTATTTTGTGACAGACGTGTTTGTATTTGACCAGTGAGAGCTTCAGGTCACTTGTATTGTTACTCAAACCGTTAAAATCCAGAAAGTATTCACATTTGAGAAGCTGGAACCACGACATTTTTAGTTATTTACCTTTTAAGAGTTGTTGCCAATAAAGTTTCTGCTGATAGACTAATTGATAACTTGATCACCTGTTTCAGATCTGCTATATTTCTGCTTTAAAAGAAAAGAATGATTGTTTTTATGGCTGCGTATGACTGTTATTTTGTTTATTGGGTATCATCTATCAATTATTTGTTTGTCAATTGATCTAAAAAGATTCGTAAATATTGAAAAATGTTCTTCCACTTTCCCAGAGTCCAAGATGGCGTCTTTAAGTTGTTTGTTTACAGTGAAATCAAACAGGAAATAAGTTGTTTTCCTTCATTTTCTGACAAATAATGAGTCTTCTGTCAATCAACTAGTTTTATTTGATTAATTGTTCCAGCTCTTGATTACATCTCATTTGATCCAAATACTTCGTTTGAAGCTGGAGTGTGAAAGTTCATTCTTGACTAGTGAAGTTAGTGTAACTAATAATAACAAAATCTCAATTCAGAAAAAAGCAAAGAACCTTTTTGTCAAAACATTAAAAACATTTACAGGCTTTTGTTTGTGTATAATTAAAATTACTGACCTTTTTCTTCTGGTCTCTGAGGGAATCTGTGATTATTTTCACTCTTTGAGATCTAACAATAAGCTGCTGCTGTAGTGAAGCGTCCTTTCTCACTAATTTAGTCCTTTTTAAATAACACATTATAAACCTGCATGAAGCCCGTTTCTCCCAATTTACACCGTTTGATGTGTTCCCTTGTCGTTTTCCTCCATCGTACCTGAACAACAAAACAACCAGCGAGTAAGCAAATAAAGAGAGGCTACAGTTTACTCCGACACGGTGTCAAAACATCCATCTCTTTCAAGTCACCTGAAATGGTGAAAAATGGAGATTTAGTCACAACAGCTGAACACAAGCAAGTCATTCGGCTATTACAGCATCTGTCACAACACTTCCAAATTCTCATCTATAGGGACGGAAACTGTCAGTAGTGGTACAAAAACATGAGATTCTGTTATTTTTTCAGGTTTGTCAGCGATGTGAGTGGAAGAAGAAGTCACAGATCGCCTTATTTTATCTACTCGCACTATATTTTTTTCATGAACAGGCTTTAATGCTGTTGAGTTTTGTCCGTGTGGTCTGTGATGTTCTTCAGTTGTGATGTGATATAAGCAGATTTTTTTTTTAAGATTAGATTAAAAACGAGATATTTAAGAAGCAGTCGGGAAAGGAAATGATTGATGAACCGATTAATTAATATAACAGATCAATCAATAGGTGCAGCCCTGTTTTTGAGTCACCAATTAGAAATAACATCCGCTGCTTAAGGTGCTATTAACTGCCTGAAACAACACACAACCATGACAAAGCACCGCTGCAGAGCAGGAGAAGCAGTAAACAGTTGTTTTTGTTCCTTTACTGCAGACTTCCTGTAGTCCTTTCAAAGTAAAAGCCTTCCACAAATGAGGAGGGGGTTACAGCTTTTACTTTGACTTGCAGGAAGTGATTTGGTTTGTGTCATTGGGTGGAAATTTGCTGCAGCATATATTAATAATTGAAACCTTTATTTAAACAGGGAAAAGACTAGATAGATAGATAGATAGATAGCTGATATGTTATGAATTAAGTTTACGTGTGCATAAAAACTACATCTCTACAGTCAATAATTCAAAGAAATGAAAGTGTAACTTGTCAGGAAGTGAAAACATGACTGGTCCCTGCAGTCTAATGAGATCTGGACTGAGAATAAAGGTCACATGACTTTCTGTCACAACACGCACATTACCCAGCGTACTTCAGCAATTTAATATTTGACCTTTTGTTTACGACATACAGGATACTACTACTAATTTAAACAGCGCAGGGATGCACGGTCACTTCACTTTTATCAAACTCAGACCTGTAAAATGTCACGTGGGATCACATGGTGGAAGTTAAAGTAGTGAGTCGTTCTTGTCAAAGAAAACCAGGGAAAAGAATCGAATAATATAATAATTTACAAGTCGGCTCCTCTTGCAGATACTGAATGATTAACTACAGCTGATGGTTTTATGAAGTCCGTGAGAGTCATGTGGCCTTCATACTGCAGCTTTGTGAAAGTAAAAGTTGAACAGCAGAATTGTTTCTATTAATTGACCCTTTATTTTTATTTATCTAACACCCAAAGGCGTTTAAAATCAGTTTAATAGGAAGTGTGGCCACTGTGTTGTAGTCAAATGATAACAGGGAGCTCGCTGCTGTTTTGCAAAGTCAGCTGTTATTTCTTTGTTTTCATGCTTGGAAATTAAATTAAGTTACCTGGAGAATAATTGAGACACGTGCAGATGATTAAGATCATACGGGGTTTAAACACGTCTTTTAGTTTTCAGGTTTTTTTGTTTCAGTCGTTGTCATTTTGTGTCTCTTTCTTCAGCTCCAGTGATATCTGAACGTATTTGGAGTCGCTATTAGGGGCTGCAGATATGCCTCTGCCATGCTAAACAGTCCGAGGAGTTAATTTTTAACGTTTCCTCTCCGAGTTGTTTAATATATTACAATATCCTACTCTAGACTGCTGTTCATACATGTAGAAATAAAATTCTGCCTCACTGCAAAATGGTGCAACTTTATTGTCAGAGGTGTTGATGCCAGAGGTGGATTCTGCAGAATTTATGGCTCAAACACGCCCTAGAAAACACAGGGAAGAAACTTAGCATTAAAATTTTAATTTGGTAGTTTTCATCTGCAGTATTTTCCCCTTTTTAATGCGTGAGATTGTAGAAAAGGACGAATTTCAAAACATTGAAAATGTGCTTTTTAAAAACTGGTCGTACGCTCCAGAATAAACTTTTATTCCTGAAGTAGATTCCACTCAGTTTGTTGTTGTGTCAGTCTGACACTTTGGGTTACAATTAAATGTCTCAACATTTGATTGATTTCCGTGAAATCTGGTCCAGATGTTTGTAGTTCTCAAAGGAGAAATCCCAGATACTTTGGTGATTCTCTTGCTGTTGATCTACGCCACCAACAGGCCAAACTTTCCATTTGTCCAACTACATCTTAATGAAAGCATGTCTCGAACATTTGTGACGAAATTTTATGCAAATATAGAATAATGTAAAGTGTGCCTTGCTAACCTTTAGTCCTTTGTAATTGTAACAAAATGAAGTGACGATATACAATACAAAAAAAACTACAACTACATCCAACCAACTCTATATTCTAATGTCATCTTTCCAATTTTTTAAGATGTTATTTCTTCAAATTCTGGTCCATGATTGATCCGCAGACCTTACTGAATGCCAGACTCTGTTGAGCCACACAGGGACCATTAACTCTTGTCTCCCTCTTGTCTCTCTGTCAGTGGTTGGGTGCTCCCTCCTGCCAGCGAGGCAGCTATGCCTTCTATAAGTCGGTGAGCAGCAGAGCTCAACCCGACGGGCCCGCCCAGGTGTGGAAGCTCGGGGAGTTTTACTTCATCCGCTGTGGACCGCAGGATCCAGTGTGCGTCGCAGAGGTGAGATCACTGCTCTCTTGTTAGATTAAAGCTGCTAGAATCAGAATTTCCTGAATAACGACAGCTCACAGTGTGAGTGGGGTTGTTAATATTGATGAACCCCTCAGACAGGTATTACCTGCAGTTTCCTGAAGATTTACGGCTTATTTCAGCTCGTTATTTAGTTTTTTTTTTTTTAATGCAAACTGCTCTCATCAGTGTCGTTTTCTGATGCAGCCAAAAAAAGCTCTAAAATGTGCTGTACACTACCTGCTCAGCAGCAGACAGCCGACAGACACAGCTACAGACTAGCTGGTGAACATAGTGGAGCATTTAGAAGCTAAAGAGCCAGATATTTCCCTCAGGAGTTGGTGGAGACCAAAAACAGATAATAAACAGAGATTAAATGGAGTGAATATGAGCTCTGCTTGTTGTGTAAATAGACAACCGTTGCTAAAACACATATCAACTTTATAAGAAGATAATCCCTTATCGAACCTCAGACGGGAAATTCTACTGTTGCAGCAGCACAAGGACAGAAATAAGTGCAGATAAATGAAGAAAAAATTAACAATTAGAGTAGAAATAAAAACAGAAGTAGTAAGTTTGAGAAGTAAACTCAAAATGACAAGGCAAGCTGTACACGTACACACAGTACCCAGTATTGTACTTAAAGTAATATTAAAGTACACTTAACCTGTAACATGTAAGAGTAATATAACATACTGTAACAGCAGTAGCCCTTAGTGTTTGTTTTTGTTCTAGAAATATGATAGAAATATAATATATAGAAAATAATGCAATAAAACCAGCATACCCTATCAACATAATAGTAGTTTATTTTAGTATATAATACGGTATAATATAGTATAAGTTGTTTTTTCCTCTCAGATTTTCAGAAAGCTCCTGCTGAGAGACAGAAGACACTGTTAGCTGTCAGCCGATCTTGTTGGATTGCCCCTTTAACTGTTGACCACGACCAACCCGAGCTAAATCTACAAACTGAACAACGGCACGTCAAACCCTAAATAGGTCACACTGCTGCTCACATGAGCTATAGAAGACTAATCGTATGTTTTACTGAGTCTACATCCCACGGCAAGGCTAAATTTAGTGAATTTAGGTCGCAAGCTGAAAAAGTGTTAATGAGATTGCATTGTATTTAGGCTGATAGCATTGTATTGACAGTGATTGATTGAAGTGAAGGATGTGAAATGAATGTTTTTGGGTCAGTGTATTTGTTCAAAATACAAACCCTGGAAAGAGAGAAAGGATGAGTTAATACAAACATTTAAAATTGGTCAATTAAACTCATTTAAACTGAAGTGCATCTTCTCCCAAATTAAATAAATCAGTAATAATCAATTGACACAAACAACAAGATGTGGATTCCTCTGGACATGCAGACCTTTATGTTCGTCTGACAGAAGTTTAGCAGGCTGGATGTCTGAAGAAGCCCCCGGATCGCTGTGTAAAAGTCAAAATGATGACTGTTGTTTGGACCTGAAGCATTTCTGTTTCACTTTCAACATGAAGCACAAAGTAAAACTTAAAGTAAAACACGCAGAGAGATTAAATGCATGGCCTGCGTAGGCGGTATGTCTTCATCCTTTATGAACAAAATCACTTTTTAATAAACTAGTAAGCTCGTTTATTACTTGCAGTATTAAAAAATAAAAACTTTTTACATACAGCATGAGAGCAAATGGGAACAAAATGAAAGTCACAACTTAACGTCCTGTCATTCAATGCTTGTGCACAGTTTGACTTCATAATATGGGAAGCAGAATTCAAGATAAAGTTTCTTACATTCCTGAAATGTGCCTAATTAAAATTCAGCTGTGAGCTCTGTTTTAAAAAGCAGAGAGGAAATGGAAAGCACAGGAACAACCTAGTTGATTCTACGGACCTAAAGAAATGAGAATATCTTTTACTTTATTACTTGTTAGCTTATTGTAAAGTCAGTATTCTTGTCCTGGTCAGGATCCTGTAGGAATAATGACTCAAATCTCACATTTCCAGTGATGTGATTGGTCAGTGGTCAGTGCTTTTGGTCGACGTTTATCTGATCCTCTGAAGTTGACCTGCTCCAGGGCAGATACCAGAAAACCTGAGTTAACCCCAAAAATATCTGATCTCAGCTCACAAGCCAGAAAAGTTTGGGAAATGTGTGGTCAAAACATCATCATGTGTGGATCCAAACCGTTCAATTATTTTCATTTAGTGCAATCAGACAGTAAAATATGATTGTACCTGTAATTTCAAATGCATAATCTCACAAAATAAAAAAGTGATGTAGGTGTTTCAGACTCAGTCAAACGTCGTCTGGGTGAATAAATAAAACCAAACAAAAACGAGCAGATGAGCAGCAGTGATGTTGAAATGATCTCCTTGTGATACATCAAGAAGAATCACGTCTGACCTCCAAACCTGCACAGTCTGGTCCACTTCAGTTCAGTTCTCACTCGCATAGTATTATCTGTAAGTCTGAATCTGCCTTCATCAGGAGTAGTTTCCTGTTTGCTTATTTGTCTCTCCTGTTGTTTCCTGTTTCTTCACCGTTATTCTTACACAACAGGTTGTGTAAACTTCTGAGGGGGCTTTTTCATTATTTTCAATGCAAAGTTTTCTTTTTTTCCTGTTGTATGAAAGTCTTGTATCTTTTAACAAGTCCTAACATGGCAAATGTTGTAATCTGTCAGCGCAACTGGTTTGGTTGCAGGAAAGTTTCCATCCACATATGATTTTTTTTCCCCCAGTTGAATAAAAGTTAAAATCACCCAAAAAAAATGCTGTTTGACTCCAGACATGGATTGTCAAGTACATTTGTGATGCAGCTGTTTACAAGGTTACAAGGCATCTGTGTTAAAAAACAAACACATTGTATTCTTCTTCATGTGCAGGTGACCTTACTGTGGGAGGACCAGACACGGCACCATCTGCTGGCCAGCACCAGACTGTAGTTCCTGCCCGAGGACACACCAAAGGGCCGGACCAGGGAGCACGGAGAGGTGGGTCAAAGGTCACGTGTGGAAGACTGACTCTTCTTTTAGACATGAAATGCCAATGAGACGTTTATCTTTGCATGGGATGATATTTTAGTCTTTTGTTTGTTCTTCCATGTATTTATACAAATATTATTGCAGCACACTGTTTATTTTTTATTATACACTCTTCAATTTGATTTATTTTAGTTTAATTTAAATTAAATATGGCATCTGTTACCATTTCCCACGAGCTACGTCACAAAAAACACAACAACTATATAACTATATAAGGTCATATCCATCACAGGATATGACATACTGGTGACCTACACTCGGCTGCCAGGGCTCAGAGTCTTAAATTATAATAATGCATTAGAATTATGTTGATTAAATGTTTTATTATTAATCTAAAAAAGGTAATTAAGGAAAAAGTACAATCTGTACTTCTAAAATTTTGTGTAGTAGAACCTCAAAACTGCACTATAAGAACAGTAGTTGACTAAAACAGATGGATAACACAGATAAGTAAACTAAAAAATACAAAAATACCATCTACTTTATGAGCCTCTACTATAATATCAGGCTTGGAATAAAAACAGTCCCTCTGTAATTCCTGTCGAGTTGTAATGGGAGTGAACGTCTCCCTAATATAATCTGTTTAAAGACCATCTATTAATAACCGCGTCACCGGGACGCTGCCTCCTTTTTTTATCCAAACATGTTTGGCCAAGAAGTTAAACAGGTTAACTTTCAGTCAAAGTCTCTGGATCAAGCAGTGACCTTTTTGGTCTTTTATCCTTAAAATGTCTTATTAATGACCTCTCAAGCACAAAAAAACACAATTTAATGATCAGCTTAATTATGAAAGAATTGAATCAGTTAAATTACTTTTTATATGCATGACAAATGAACAGTGATTTCGCATGAAGGAAGAAAAGATCAACGTGGATGCGTCTGCTGCTGCTGAGTGTTTTTGATTAACACAGTTCACATGCAGGCTGCAGCTCAGCCTTCACATGAAAATCCCCCTTTGGGAAATGAGACTAATGTTTTACCCAAATGTAAATCCTGTGACTTGTCTGAAACTGAATTTTCCACATTTTGAACTTGATATTCCACTGTTGACGTCTCTATATTGAGGTTTAAATTTTCCTGCTGGAAAATTGAGCCTTCTGAAAGTTGTTTTCAAAGGAATGAGTTTCTTTTATATGAAGAGTTTGTTTTTTAAAGAGCTGTCTCATTTGTCTCAAGTGTTAAAAGCCATTGTTTTTTTTTTTATCTTTAAAGATCTGTAGGATCAGTTTTAACATACTTTTAACATGCAAGACTTTAAACAACGGAGATACTAAATGTTAATCAGTAAGCTGTCGAGGTGCTGGTAGGTGGAGTTTGTTATCTTTGGACAGAGCCGAGCTAGCAGTTTCCCCCACTTCCTGACTTTATGCTAAGCTAACTGGCTACCGGCTGTCGCTTTATATTTAGTGAATAGATATGAGAGCGGTATCAAGCCTCTCATCTTACTCTTGGTAAGAAAGTATTTCCTAAATGTCAAACTATTCCTTCAACACGCCAGCCTCATGTGTAAATAACCCGAGTCACACACGCTTTGTTTGCTTTATCGAGAGCGCTGTCATCAAAGTTATCGCTTATCTCCTCTGCTCAAAGAAAACTAAATCAGTTTGTTAAAGTATGAAGCCAGTTTTAATTTGTTGACAAGATTCTTCTCATCTCACATCTATAAAAAAATGGATGTTTAAAAACAGGCAGCAGAATTTTCATTTCCGATTCCAATACCAGAATTTGGACATCTAACGACAGATACATGTGCTTTTGAGATAAACAGTATAAAGACAGTATAA